TAATGATGAATCTTAAGAGGATTTTGATTTGTTTTTTGCATAGTTAGAAAGTACCCCTTTACTTAAGACATGGTCCAACAATAATTAATAAATTGTTTTTTTTCTAAAAATTTGATGAAAGATTGAAGAATATTAATATGATGAGAAATTCAAGAATTATTAATTTATTAAAGTATATTAATTATTCATTTTTATATAGAAGTGCTATTTTCTCTCCCGAACACATTCTAGAATTTCCTCAAATACTGTTACCATAAACAATTTTAAAATAAAATAATCAACAGATTCTTCCATTTTTTTAGTTATTTTAATTAATTAATTTTTGAAAATTATGGGTCTTGGGTTGGCCATATAGGGTGACCCGACCCACATGATATTAAAAGAGTTTGAAGAAGTGGTTTGAATTTTAAATTCAAATATACAACTTCTTATATCTACCCTTAACTCTCGTACAACCTCGGATTGATTGTATTAGGAAAATGGAGAGAAAAACAAGCCGTAATGTGGTGAAATTCATATTTAAAAAAAATCAGTAAAATTGAAAGGCACATAGAATCACTATTTTGACATGAAAACTCACAAAAAATGGCATTTATATTGTGGCTAATTTTGTGATTGGTATCGGTACCATTGGAGTGTAAGAAAATTGTAGATTTGAAAAATAAGGTGATTCAGTAGTTCAAAATATTTTAGAATTTCTTATTTCAAGTAAGATTTTTGATCCATTTTACGAATTCTTACATTAGTTAATAATGTTATTGATCTATTATTTTTTCTCCGATAAAAATTATTTTTTATATTGCATCACAATTCATAATTGAGTTTGCTTCTAGCTTTATTGAAAAATGAAAAAGAAATTATGAAAATAAAAATCCGCTTTCCAATTAAAGAAAAACGAAAAAGGACCTTTATTTTGTCAACTTATGGGCGAAGTAGTAGTAATATTCATTGTTAAAGCTGGTGGCGAAGTGGAAGCCGTCGAGTGGAGCCTACTTGGACAATATGATATACACACGTGCGGCGTGGATTTGGAGGTTTATAATTTTCAGTTTATGGTTCATTACAGATAACTTTAAAAAAAAGAAAAAAAAATTGGAGGTTTATAATTTTCAGTTTATGGTTCATTACAGATAAAAAAAAAAAAAAAAAGAATTATACATTCCTACCTTGTTATACTTCACGAGGGAGTGTTACATATTTGAATTAACTGTATTTTAGAGAATTTTTAATACATGAGGTTGAAAAATAAAGTTGTTTTGCTTTATATATCTCAATAATTATATTAATTTCCAATTTGCTAATGGTATGGGACAAACATGACAGAGGTAAAAATGTTTTAAATTAAAATATATATTTTATATGTCATCGCTTCTGACAATTGATATTTTAATTTTGTGTAGGTATATGTCCCTCAATAATATATATGTTACTTATTTGTACTGCATTTTCAAGACCTGCCCTTTCATTTATATCTATTTTCCTTTGAGAATTTTAAATAAAAAAATTCAGTAAATTTTCCGCCTCAAGAAAATCAATTTACTTTTCTGAAGTTTAACATATGCAACTTTTGGTCTTAATGGAAAAAAAAAACTTTTATTTCTCCAATAGTTAAAAGAATCTTCGTCCGAAAAAAAAAAATATATATCTTCACCTCGAAGCATGGAAGGAGAATTTCTTATTTTAAATTACCGATAAGAGAAGTTTCTAATTTTCTATAATTTTCAAAAGAAATAATATCAATATAATAGTTATTTATAAGACGTTTCTGTATTTATAAATTGTCTTATCATTTCGACATAATAAAGAGGAAAACGTCCCTAAATGCATTAACAAATTGTGGGTAAGAAAGAACCTGTCTAATCAGTGTGAAGTTTTTATTAAGGGGGGAAAAAAGAAGAAGACAAAACCCTAAATCAAAAGTCTCTTTGGAGCTAGGCAACAAAGAGTTTTACAAAGTGGCATTATTAAAAATTTAATATGTATTTAAAAGTTTGAACATGAGATTAAATAGATAAGTCCATATGCCTATGCCCTTTTAAAAGTTGTTCATTATTGGCTAAAGTTGATTATTTTAAAGATCCCATTTAGTTAACACGCCTTGATGTATTCAAGATCATTCTTCTCTTTCTTGCTTAAGTGGCCAACAATTACACATGACACAAATCCATTCACCCATTAATTCACAAATTAAGACCAATAATGGCTGCCAGAAGGGAGATTCTATGTACACGAACGTCTTACTGTGTTGTACTTCTTTCATTTTGAAATTAAGGGACCATGTGATAAAGATTTTAACAAATGTTTTAGCATACTTTGATAAAAAATGATAGAACTTACGATTCAAAAGTTAATAAAAGTTATGAATCTTATGAAATGTGCGTTTAATTAAAATTTAACCAGTTCAAAATGATTGTTTGAGAAATTTATTTTACTTTCGACTATTTCAAAAGTGGTGAAAATTTTGCCCTAAGAGCACCAAGTTTGTTGAGAGAATTCATTTGTTATTAATATATGTAGAATGATGAGGACTTGAATAAAACTTCTGCACATATATATATATACACCACACCACAATACGATTTATCTTGAAATTCAAGAAAAATTACAAACTATATTCATGATTTGATTTATGAGAAGAGATTATACTGTAGGGTTTGTTCGAATCTTATTTATATTAGAGATATACTTAGGGTAAAAATGCAAACGCCTCGAAGGAAGAATTGAGTTATGGTGCCATTATTAGGGTTCGTAAGTGGGGTCTAAATGCAGAATGGGACTAAGGGTCTACATGTTGGTGTCTATTTGTGACAAAAGAAAGTGATTAATACTAATCTATAGGATTACTTAATCATTTTTCCTTCTTTTATTGCTCGACAAGCTGTGACCTCCAACACTTAAACAAATCAACTACCAAAAGAGAAAACTCTCTCTCTCTCTCTCTCTCTCTCTCGTGCGCGCACACACACATGTACGTGTGCGCTTCTCTACTAAGGTGTCACTGTCTTTTGTACCATTCTATCTTAGAATATATTCCTTTTTAGCTGTGTGTTCTAACTGGTTAATTTTATCTAATAGCAGTTCTAGTTAATATTCTAAAATCAAATATAATACTGTTACAAATTACATAGTTGGTCTCCAATTATTGAATCGTCAAAATCTTTACTTGTTAACTACAAGACTCTCATGCAAGTATGGTTCAGTTCAAAATTTCAAAGCCCTCATCTAAATTGAAGGACAAAACTTAATTTCATAAAATTGAACATAAAAGGATCGCAAGATCATTAAACATAAGAGATTCATGATATTGTTCTCGCCATTAGAGACTCGTTCTTGAATGAGTTATATAGTAAAATCTTTATATTTATTTATTTTCAATTATATATTCTTCAAAAAGAGTACTTTTTCACGTTGTTTACAACGTTTTCTTATCTTTTAACCATATTTTTTCCAAAAAATCCACTTTTCATAAAATCACTTATCAAAATATACTTTCTTGCAAGTAAATTAGTTTAAAAACTTGTCTTATTACTGAATAATTCATGAATCATTGTATGCATTGATGTTTGTGTCTATTTAAAAGACATCGAAATGATAAAACTCAGATGAAAAGTGAGGAGAAACCTATAACCATATATGCTAATAGCCTATGTAAATGTGCAACAAGTGGGGATTGATTTGCCTCTTTTCTGCATTTATGTTAATGGATAAGAATAACAATATTGGAGAATAAAAATAAAATGAATATGCTCAGAGTTCTTTTCAATTAGACTTGATCGAGTAGATGTTGGGCAACATATATATACAACTGCCCATTAACTTCTTATCGGTCGGTTAATTCGAGTAGAGGAAGTCTTTGCACTTCATTTGCCAAGAAAGAATACTTGAACGATGAAAATTTAAAAATAGTAAATTTTTACATTACAGGTACCATTTAATAATAGTTAAATAAATGCAACACAAAAGCTCATCATAAATAGTAAATATCAGGTTTCTTAAATGGTAAAGAAAATTTTTACTGCTGAACGCTTAGCTATGAAAAAACACAATGAGTCAAATCAAGATTCTAACAAAAGGAGAAAATTCTAATAGAATCAAATGATATTGGTTCATGTTTAATTCCACATCAAATAAAGATAAGGATAATAAACAACGTATAAGATTTAAGCTACTTCTCTTCACAAAATTGACTTTATAAGATAAAATTTGAAATCATAATATGGTGTCATATATAGCTTAAGAAGTTCAAATGAGCAAGTCGATTCAATTAAGACTCAAATGATCAAACTAATTTTAAGATTGATCTACTCATACGAGCTACTATCTTGTAAGGCATATTAAGGAATAAATACCGTATCGAATACAAATAAGAATAATAAACATCGTATAAAAGCTCGAAAAATGATTTTTAATAAGATTAATACTTTAAGATGGAACACATCACTCAAAACATAGAATGAGTCAAATGTTCATTTTTTGATTGATTTTTTTGTATTATTCAAGTCTTATTCAGATGGCAATCAATGCAAATTATGTACTGCATGTGTTCTTAATTTGTTTAGGATCAAGACAAAGAATGAAAATCGTGTCTATACACGAAAAGCCCTCAAGCCATATGGCCAAATTACCAGAACCGAAACACACAGCTATGTGAAAAATGAGCTTCAAAATTATTTTATCTTCTGGTAGAAATCCCCAGAAAGTCAGCCCTAACGATCTGACAAAGGAAATCCATCTGGTAAAATTTCTGACAATGGAAAGATGAATAAAGTAAAATTCAATCATAGAGCAAATAGAAAGGGTTTGGTTTTTATTGGCTCTTTTGTCCTTTAAGAATACTAAATGGAATCTTAATCAGAGAACAAAATTTAGGACAGACAGTTTTTATGAAAAATAATGAAATATGTAGCCCAACAAGGGAACCTCACATAATTAAATATAGATTTAAATATGATCCACCTTCCTCCCCCTCTTCTGTTTATATACACGGCGAGTAATTAGTACTTGCACTAAACAATCAAGAACAGATTGTCTCTGAAAATTCAATAAGATCAGTAAATTAATCAACAATGAAAGGCTCTGGTTCCCCTTGTGGTGCCTGCAAATTCTTGAGAAGAAAATGTGTGAGGGGATGTGTTTTTGCCCCTTATTTCAGCCATGAACAAGGTGCAGCTCATTTTGCAGCAATCCACAAGGTTTTTGGGGCCAGTAACGTGTCGAAACTGCTTGCTCACCTTCCTATGAGTGATCGGTGTGAGGCTGCAGTCACGATCTCGTATGAAGCTCAGGCTAGGGTTCAAGATCCGATTTATGGTTGCGTTTCACATATTTTTGCCCTCCAACAGCAGGTTTTTTCCTCTATTCATGAACTTAAATTGTTTCAACCCTAATTCTTATTTCTTTTAATAAAGAATCCTGTGCTTGTGTGGGGATTTGGCTTTGACCATATATCTCGTTTATTCATAGGAAAAATTAGAAGAAAACAGGACAACATAGGGAGGATAAGAAAAGATTTCTCAAGCCCTAGTTGTTGTTATTGGTCCTTAATATTAGTGTCTTTTTAAAAAGGAAAAAAAAATTGCTTGTTTTTTGCAGGTTGTCGATCTTCAAGCACAACTAGCTTCCCTCAGGGGACAAGCAGCTCAATCCATCCTAAATAGCTCCAAAAATGGTAACCCTAATGAAAAATTCTACTGCGGAACCAATTCCTTTTCTCGAGATGTTAAAAGTTGGTTCCAGTCCTCTCAAAATCAAGGACTGGTGCCACAATTAGACGTAAACTCGAGCAGTACTAATATCAGAGAGATGGCATCCTGTTACGAAAACTGTACCGTGAACGATCTGAACCGTGTTGGGAATTATGAAAATTCAGCCCTCGTTGAGGAAAATACCTCATTTGGTAGCATGGATTCACTTGAAATGCAATCGAACGAAACAGAATGGCCCTTTCAAGATGATGGAGATGATCTTCAGTCAGTAACCTTCAGATATGTTCAGCACTCTTGAGGAATTAGGGCTTCAGATTATTCAATAAATTTTTGTATTTGCATTTCTGCTGCTACTGGTGAGAGCTGGAAACCCTAGAAATGTTCTTACTATCAGAAGCCTGTATTACACCCTATGATTGATTTCTCAGATTATGTGTATTTGGAGATAATTAATCATAAGTAGAAAATATATATATAATAGACTTTGTATTATTAATATGTTTTGGCACAAGTTTGCTTTCTGGAAGACCTAGCATTAATTATGACGTAATTAAGATCTTAAACCTAATTTATTCTGTTTTAGTTCCCCTTTGTTCACCTAAGAAGTTGATTCTCTAGCATCATGTTACTTTTCAGAGGTCTACTCTTGATTGCAATGTGGAAATGATTATTAGGTTCTTGTTAATATCGTCCAATTGTGTTATCATCTGATAAATTTATAATAACTGAAAGTGAATGGCTACTTGGTATTTAGCCCTTATTGGACAGTGGGTATTTGAAAATCAATGTTCCTCTACACTCATTTTCAATCTGATATTTTCTCAAAAAAGTAATTTTCACTTTTCTTTATAATTTTTCTCCACTTTTTAACTACAAAATCATCAAAAAATTTACTTTCACACAAGCACTTGCAGAATTTTTTAAGTTGGTATTTAGAGAATTTTTTGGGCTAGTTTGCCCAATTGACACACTTCTTAGAGATTGTAACATTTAAGGTAGTCAGCATTTTCCTTCCATGTAAGAAAAGCTTTGAAAATGTCAAGCTATCCAGGTCGAACTCCCACATAATATCGGTCTTCAGTCTAACTAATTAAGTCGTCATTATGGTCTTTTTCACTACTTTTCTATTCGAATTCTTTTCTTAACCCTTTCTATTGAGTATTGACTATGATGTTCGTCTAGATTTTCTTGACTATCACACTGAAGAATGTATTGCATGGTGTGAGAGAGTGATTATCTTAGCTCGGATCATATGGTGTGAACCTCGTCCTTTAACAATTTTGTTGACTTAATGTCAAGCTCTTTAACTAGACTTCGCCCTCAATATTTCTACTTATTGATCTGGTTTAGGTCGCAATGCAATCTCAAAATTGATAGATAATTTCGCAGTATATCACAATAGTAGAAATTTTGATGGTTTGCTATAGAAATCAAGACAATTTTTCTTCCAAGCCCCATCCCATGTTTGGCGTACAGAACTGTCTATTGGGCCAGCCAACCCAGAATCTAATTGGATAAAATTTTCAATCTGGGCTTACAATTCGGCAGGACCCGGCTCACTTCAACTAAGTTTAAGGGACCCTTCAACTAATAATATGTTTAAATAAACATTAATTGCATGATTTGGACAAGAGTGGCGTTTGCTTAATGAAGTTGATAAGGTTTGATAATCAATTGGTTAGGTGCACCCAATCAAGGAGACATTTGGTCTATCTTTTTTAGTACAATTTCTTATAAAATAATCAGAAAAGAGTATTTATATTAGGTAAACCTACTAATTCTTTGAAAAATTATCCTAACCAATTGAGTCAATTAGATATTCTAATCCCGAGCCTGTGTTCACTTTCATAACACTGGTAGGTCGGATTAGATATAACTGAGCACGACAACTAATACATTTTTTCTTTTTTGAAATTCTACATAGTAAGGACAACATATCAAATATATTAAACATGGTTGAAACCCGCACATAATTTTAGTGCTTACAATGTTGGAAATTGATTCAAAATGTAGGTTTTGACTAATTGGTTAAAGAGAGACTCTTTAGTCATTTAAGGGAGCTCGAACATTAGTGTCTTAAGATTTGAAGTAAAAATAGAACAACCAATCTTTTGCGTTCAAAAATGGGACAAAATTTCGACTTACGAAACCAAGAAACATAGAAAGGGAAAAAAAAAATGCAAAAGATGAGATTTTAGTCCCGATAAACAGTCAAAATCTTGCATTTTCTTCTCTCCACATTTCTTGATTCGATAAGTCCAACATCTGTTTGATTTTTCAATGAAAAAAATTAAATATGAAAATATAATTTATGCACCAATATTTTTACTAAACATACAATATTACCCTCGAACCATTTTATAATTTAAGTCTAAATTTTGAGAGTTAGTTATACCTTCAATATAGATTGTCCGCAACATTATTTTTCTCCTCAGAAGATGATAGTGATTATAAAAACAATCATGAGCTTTTAAAACAAAACACACCATGGCGAAAAAAACGATAAGAGCACAGAACATATAAAATACGTTTCTTTTGATGTTCAGTTCCTAATATATGTTGGAGAAGACTTAGAGAAACGGGCTATGTGAATGTTGATTTTTGATATATTTGTTCGACCAGTTTTAACCTGCAGGTGCGTGATCAAAACACAATTTATATGGAAATTTGGATAAAGTTTCGGTATATATAATGTGGTAAACGATTACACAAAACAAGAATTCAGAAGGAGTAGAAATTAGAGAATAATCCACTCTTTCCTTAAGACAAATTGCTCTGCTACGGTACTTACGGTGAATGACACTTGTCTCTAACAATACAATGGATTCACAACTTGTGGTAGCAATACTTTAAACCACAAGAAATCGACGAACTTTTGACAGAATTTTTCCTCTATAAAGAAAATGCATGAAAATGCTATAGAAATAAAAAGGAGATAATTGTAAGAGGAGAATGAGTGCTCAATGTAATTGGTGTACCCAAAATCATATCCATAGGGTCTTATTTATAGATGTAGAAGGGGTGCAAATGAAGTAGTGTGAGTCAAACATGCATCTTTTTGAAAAGTTGCAATATTTGGCCAAAATCTACATCCTTTTGAAAGGTTGCAACACTTCATTTCTTTCAACTTTGGATCGTAATTTCTCATTCATCCGGAATTGATTTCGAGATTTCAAATATATTACAATGACCTACTCGACGAGTAGAATAAGTTGGTCTATTTACTTTTATAATTTGACCATCGGATCAAGTTTGAATATTTGGTTGAAGTTGACACGAAGTCAAACCTTTTCATTTTCCAATTTTCAGTTATTTATTTGAACCAATTCCAACAATCCCCCGTATGAATGAAAATTTGGATACACATGTAAATGCGATGATATGATACAATTGAGAGAGCGGAAATTACTGCATCAGGGATGGTGGCTTCTGGCCTTGAACCTCCCTTAGTAAAATAATATTGAACTTACTCGGCTAATTGGTGAACCATAGGTTTGAACCACTCAGGCTTTGGTGTAAGCTAAGACAATAGTATTCACACAGATATCTTCCCTATTCTGAACTTAGTTTTCATGACTTGGTTCATTTTGGCCATGAACCCTTCTTGATTTCATAAGTGTTTAGAGAATTCAAGTTTTAAACAATTCTCATCGAAATGGCCCCACTTCACACTTACATAGGTGACCTCCTATTAAGAGTATTCAGCCCTATTCCACTTGACTTAATCAAGATATAGGAATCATTAAAAGATAATCTTAACTTCTATCCACTTTGTAGAAAGCACTTTAGTATCTTAAGAATGAGTTAAGAATTCTAATTTCCCAAGTGCTTCATGAAATTTTCACAACTTAGTTATCCATTTGAACCAAGATCTTGTGATCTCCAGTCAACAAGGTAGGGTTACAATTGCAAAAACTCTTACGTAATAGGCTTTAATCCCATTCTTCTCTATAGGTAACGTACTTGATCTCTGGGTAAACTTTTTGTAAGTGGATCTGCAATATTCGCTTTTGATTTCACATAATCTATGGAGATAACGCCATTTGAGATCAGTTGCTTAATGATGTTGTGTCTACGACGAATATGTCTAGACTTACCATTATACATGCTGCTTCGAGCCCTTCCGATTGTCGATTGACTATCACAATATATATTTATTGCAGGTACCGACTTGCGCCAATATGGAACATTTTCTAAGAAATTTCGAAGCCATTTTGCTTTTTCTTCAGTTTTGTCCAAAGCAATAAACTCAGCTTCCATCATTGATCGAGCTATGCACGCTTGCTTTGTTGATTTCTATGATACAACAGCTCTATTAATGTTGAGTATATAACCACTAGAGGACTTGAAATCCTTCATGTTAGATATCCAATTTGCATCACAATATCCTTCTAGTACTGCAGGATATTTTGTGAAGTGTAGTCCATAGGTTAAGATATACTTCAAGTACCTTAAAACCCTCATCAAAGCCTTCTAATGATTATTGTTTGGATTACTTGTAAATCTGCTAAGTTTATTTATCGCAAAAGCAATATCGGGTCGAGTGCAGTTTGTAATAGACATAAGACTGCCAATTATTTGTGAATACCTTAGTTTTGATATACTTTCGCCCGTATTCTTGACTAAATGCATACTCGGATCAAGAAGAGTTCTCGCGAGACTTTTCTCAAACACATCAAACTTCTTAAGTACTTTTTCTATATAGTGAGATTATGCAAGTACAATTTCATCATGCGTTCTAGAGATTTTAATCCCTACGATTATATCTGTGATACCCATATCTTTCATATTGAAATGCTTTGTTAGCATCATTTTGGTGTTAAGCAACATTTCGTGACTATTGCCCATTATTAACATATCGTCCACGTATAGACATACAATTACATAGGCATTCAGTGTATGTTTAATATATACACATTTGTCATATTCGTTGATCTTGAATCCATTTGACAATATTATTTTGTCAAACTTTTGGTGCCATTATTTAGGAGCCTATTTTAATCCATACAAGGACTTAACAAGTTCACACACTTTGTGTTTTTGGTTAGTAGAAACGAACTCTTCAGGTTGCTGCATGTAAATCTTTCCTTCTAACTCACTATTTAAGAATGTCGTTTTTACATCTATTTGATGAATTTCAAGATTATGTATTGTTTTAATTGCAATTAACAACTTTATCAACGTGATTCTAATTACGGGTAAGTAGATATCAAAGAAGTCAAGTCCTTCTTTTTACCTATATCCTTTAGCAACTAATCTGGCCATATATTTATTAATGGATCCATCAGGTTTCAATTTCTTTTTGAATATCCATTTGCATTCTAAAGGTTTGTTACCTGAAGGTAAATCAACCAACTTCTACGTATGGTTTTACATTATAGAATCTATCTCACTATTGATGGCTTCTTTCCAATGCGGTGCTTCCGGTATAGATATTGCTTCATCGAAAGTCTTTGGATCATCATCTACCATATATGTTAGAAAATCCGGGTCAAACG